GCCCAAATAGCTTGAGATGTCGAATAAGAACGTAATCTCGAAGGGAGCCAAAAAGTGTCCCAAATTTGAGCTATCTAGACTTTCTTGCCATCCCGGAGTTTGTCATACCATTAGGAAAACTGGAGGAAACCAAACGTTTTATCTTTTGGTACTACAGCTTGAGGATAGAAAGACATTGAAGATCTGAAAACGTGACAGACATATTTCAAGCGCTATCTTGATCAGAACAGATTACACTGAAACGATACTGATATTTTTAGAAATGAGGTCAACTAGTAAATCTCTTAAAACAAACCCACATGATGGTGTTTTATAGATTATACGTTTGTTTTAGTTAAAAAAGCCAAATTTCGCGAGCGCTCATTGATAGAAACGATAAATAAGTATTTATTTTGCGCCCAAGTTTGAAAATATAATTGCTTTGAACATTTACCGTACCTCTGACGATGGCCTGGCTGCAAGCGTCGACATTTTACGAAATAAAGCTTGCCACCTAAAATTAACCGTCTTTTTTCCCAGCACCGTATTTCTAGGGTAAGCTTCAGTGTAAGTGCAGTAAAGGTCAATTTCACATCGAAAACTTAGAATTACAGGTGGCCCTGGCATCCACCTGTGTGGCCTACTTGCCTCTCGGAGGACGGAAGGTGCATTTATTCTCAAAAAATCAGGCTATTGTCCTCCCATGCAGTCGCAATAGAAACTGACAAACTTAAAATGAGGAAAATTAGACTGCAAAAGTCCCCTTTGGTTGATGTTTCGTCTTTACCTGCCACTACATATTCCATTATAAAGTATGGTTGGTTGAACAGAAAACAAAATGTGGCATGAGGGATTTTCAGTCTCCAGAAGATTGGGCATTCGTTGGCCTATTGTAAAGTTTGAGGGTCCTCCCACATAACCGAGGTCGGACTTGCGCTGTTCTTACCAGAACTATTAATTTAGTTGCGACACCTTACGTCAGGTGTACTTTTTGAAGTTAACAACATACCAGACGGATATATTATTGAGCATTAAGGAAGAAAAGCAAGTATTCCTTCTAGTTTTCGTATGATTTTACCCTTGAGAATCGTGGCGACATCGTGGACATTATTGTCATGCTGTCCATTACTGTCCCGTTGCATCACTTTTCATATCCACGCAGTACAGTCAAAGTGCCAAAAAGACTTCAGGTCTACCGAATCCACTTTATGCCACTGTTTGATACGTTTTTTGTGCATAGTTACACAACTGTAACTATACTTTTGCATGCAGTAGCCCAGGGATATATGCTCGATAAAATAACGCGCAAGGTGCATTCACCTCTTTTTAGTCAATCCAAAATTAGTGAACCTGGACAACTTCTACTCTTCTACGTTGCCTCAGTATACTAGGTCAGTTTATGCCCTGGCAAATGGAGGTTTTTCGTCAGGATTGGGCGGACTTTGGGCCTATTATCCGCACGCTCACTTACCCATCTGGATAGAACAGTTTTTCATCTTTCAGATTAGTGAGACAGCTTCAAAAAAGCAAAGAAATGCGACACATTCCGGTGGGTGTACTTTCGGAGCAAATATCATACCTGACGGACTGTAACGATCAGCTGCCAAAGCCTGGTC